AATAAATTGGACAGACCAAATAGGCTGTAAGCTAGAAGGCACAGTTCATAGCACTAATTAATCTTCATGTCCCCAGAACACAGCCTTGTGTCTGATCTATAGCAGTCGCTCAATAAATATATGCCTGAAAGTCTGTATATGAGGTAAAAGGCTGAAAATTCTCCTGGTGGTTGCCATTAGAAAATAATTTATTTGTGTTCTTTCTCCAACAGCAGACAGACAGATTTTGGTTTAACGTTCAAAAGTATTTTCTAACAAGATAAAAAAAATGTCTCTCCTTTGCCCTTTTAGGCTGAACTCTTGAACCCAAACACAGCTTATTCAAAGGGGGTTGATATGATTAGTGTTAGGAAAGATTTTATGTAATGAGATTTGGTTTACTGCAAGCAAGTTTGGATGAATATGAGTCTCATGCAATATTTTAACTTTTTAATTTATTGCTGACTCTACAGGGCAAAGGAGATCATAACCCTTAGTCCAATTTTGGGATGATGAATTGAGGCTTTTTCCAAAAAGGCAGAGTATAAAATACATCTTGCTTCAGACACAGTATTGCAAATTGCATTTATATTTAAAAAGAGTAAATACAGTGCCACAACAGTTGATATTTAGTTAAAATAGGAGGTTGGTGTCAAATAGTGGTGTTTGCCAAGACAAATGATAAATTAATTACTAAGTATCTACTCTGTGTTTTGAATTATGTGATATGGAATAGATGCCAATGAAAGATGCTTCTCTTGGCAAGGTACTAACTTAATATCAAGTAAGAATGGTAAGAAAAAGAGACAGCTGGGCAGTATACATCTCCTGGAAAGAAAAGAAAGAAAATCATTGCTAAGTAATTCAAGAAGGTGTCAGGAATATTGGCCCATATACCAGTCTGATAATTATAGATAAAAGATCATACACAGAGACTTAAAAATTCCAGGGCTCCTTACCTTTACACTGATGTTGAGCTGATGTTACAGAGAAGTGGGATTTCAGGTTGGATAGTGTGAGGACCCTTACAGAGCACCCAAATGCCATCTAGAGGGATAAGAACTCTGAAATGTCATGGGCAGGCATCACAGATTCTAAGGCAGGAAAAAGGCACAGAGAGAATAAAAATTACAAAAGATTTTGGCATTTGTAAAATTTCATCATTTGACAGGGACTGGAGGCAGGTTGGGGAATCGGGACAGTTTTTTATACTGGTCAAGTTTAGAGCAGTTACACTATTTTGATTGCTGATCTAGTTACGGAGCTGTAACTATTTCATCAACAGTTTCTCAATCTTTTTTTTATTCCTGAAGTCTAGTCTAGGTCTAGTGTGGTAGTTATTTAGAACTTTAATTTAATTCTATCCAGACATAGTTTTCACAACATGAAGTAGTGAAAAGATCAAATGACCACTGATTCTGGTCTCATTTAGGACATTCCAGCTGCAGACCGGTGGCCAGTTCACATTGTTGTGGGGGAAAAATATTTAATTTTCTTTCTGACTTTCTAAGTTATTTTGGCTGGATTAATAATCAAATTAACATGAGACAGATTAACAGGAAAAAGTGATCAAATTTATTAGGTATGTACATATAAGGGTTCCATATGAATAAATATGAGACCCTAGGACAGACCTGGAGTTAAGGTTTAGATGCCATCTTGAGCTAAGGAGTGTGGGTGTGTGGCATGGGAACTTCAAAGGGGAAGAAGGCAATTCACGTGGAGATACAAAAGCAAAAGTTTGGTAAACAGCCGTTTGCTGAGCCATCTTTAACAATGGGGCACAGAGAAGTCTTCGGTCAAATGTGCCTTGCCAGCTCCTCCCTGTTAATCACACATAGGTTCGCACTACACTATCCTACCTGTGAGGATAGCCCCCTCCCTGGAATAGGTTGTCTATTTAAAGACCTTTGGGCAGTTAGAGAGAAGGTCGATGGTTTTTCCTGAGTCTTTGTTTCTTAAAAATAACCAGCTTAAGATGATCAATATCCCAAAAGGCATATTTTGGGGTGGCAAGCCCTGCTTCCTCTCAATGTCCTTAGACTTTACTTCCCTAATGTGGAAATAAGAACAGTGACCTGGATCAACTCTAAGGCCTTTTAGGTCGAGCTTTCTTCAGAGCAAAGGAGGTAATGGAATGTTCCTAAATGTTCACCTTATCATTGAGCAGCTGAAGTAGTGAGCATAGTATGTGTATGTATATATATAACATTTTAAATTTATTTTTCAGTTACAGTTGGCTTAGACTATTATTAGTTTGAAGTGTACAATGTAGTGATTATATATTTATATACCTTACAAAATGATCACCCCAATGATTCTAGTACCCATCTGGCACCATACATAGTTATCACAACATTATTGATTATATTCCCTGTGCTGTACTTTATAGCCCTGTGACTATTTTTATAGCTGACAATTTGTTCTTCTTAATCCCTTTCACTCTTTTTACCTATTTCCCCCAACCTGAAGTACTTATCATATATTTTAACGCATACTAGGAAAAATATCTTTCCTATAAAATAGATGGTAGGTTCATGATTACAGTATATAGGCGATTACCTTTTCCAAGAATGTGTTAAAATATAGAAGAAAATAACATAAAATTAACCCTTGTAAATGAACACAATGTGCTGACTGTATAATTTAAATGTTTTAAATAAGCTACTTATTTGCATAATGATACTTTGGAAATATATATCTTAAAAATAGCAGTACTATTCATTGACTTGAAATTAAAACAAAAATAACAAGTGTAAATTAGTCTGGAAAGGATGTCATGTACTACATAATTAGATCTATTAATAAACATGTGGGCCATCACTTATTAAGTTAAATTTGGCACAGAAATGTATTTCAAGGTAATGAATCTATATTCTCTATTTAACAATTTTCTATTTATATATTGCAAGTGTATATTGTCATCAGTTAACTTCTATAATTTGTATGCAGCTTTTTATTTTAAAATGTTACTCTTCAATATCACTTGTCTTAATTGAAGTTTAACTTTGAACACTGAGGAAAATGAATTGTAGGAAACATTGTATGAAATACATCAGAACATCAGAGAAACACTGCAGATAAAGATTTCTAATGTCATAACACTAAACAAATTATTACAATGTCTAGACAGAGTCCAAAGACATGGTAGAAAATTTTTGATAAATTGGTTTTATTGAACCAAAAAAATTGATTTGTTTAAGCATCATTTAATTTTTTAAACTAGTGAAATGATGCAGAGTATGAAGTTTAGTTACTTGAAAAACTTAGTAGAAAAAGGGTAGATATTTTATCCACTCAAGTATTTTACTTTAGTCAACAAATATTTATAAGACCCAGAAAATCACTTCTAATAATCTGATCTAAGTAGCATTGTTATGTCATTATCTGGGATGTTTGGTAAAAAAGACAGATTCTTAGGGCTGTCTGCACAGATGCAGCCCTCTGTGCCTACCTCTGAATGTATTTTAAACAAGTTCCTGGAAAGTTTACTGTGCATACTGAATGTAAGAACTACAGTTCTAAAAATACTCTTCATTCATATCCTACTGTTGGAAATGTTTACATGTCATTTGATGCTGGGTATTGGAGAATGGAATTTTGAATTTGAAGGTTGGAGAACAGAAGTCTACTTGGGTATCCAGAAAGAAATCAGAATTATCAGTTGTTTTACTATTTATAAGTAGCCTTTATATCTTTCAGTTTCTGTTTGAAATTGAGATGAATAATATTCAAATATGTCCTTTTCTGTTATTAAAATCCATTTGTTCTATACATTTCCATCATACAAAACAAAGTATTACATAGTGGAATCTTTGTTTGTTTTTTTTTAATTTTCAGAACGCTGATTTTCCCAGAAGTTTTTCCATAAGTTAGACTTATAAAATCATTTTATTTCTTCCATAGAATCACCAAATTTATTTTCAAATTCTATAGGATTAATGATCCTTTTAAGGTTAAAATAAAATTTTCAAACATGCCTGCATTAATTTGCAAGCAAACACAGCCTCTACTCATAATACTGCTGTTTAGATTGGGATTGCTACCAGGAACTTCTTGGTATTACTACTGTCCTTTACATGTAGGTATATGTAGCCTTTCCACTTGCTTTTGATTGAGATGACTTTCTCCTTCACTCCCAAATATATTATAAACAAAAATCCTGCATTCACAAAAGCGGATGACTTCAATTTTGAAGTTAGTAAATGATGGTAATATCTTTGATGACAGGAAATATCTTATTATCTAAGTTTATCGTGACCTGAAAAGTTTTTGCATATAGTAGATTTCCAGTGATGTGTGAATCAATGAGAGCTAGTCAAGTTTTATTAACTTATCTGGCACCGAAACAGGAGAAATTTATTCATACTGGTCAGCTTCATGAGAACTAAGTCTCTTTTGAATCAGAATTTATATTTAGGCATCAATGATTTATTGTCTGGTCAGTAGCTTAATTCAGTGATCATCTTTTGCTCATATCAATACAGGAGTCTATAAATACTGAAAACTAAGTAACTGTTCAGTTCCTGATAATCAAATCTTTTCATTCCTTAGCTTCCTATTTGCACCAGAGGGCTTACAAAATTAGTAGAAAAAATGACAATCTTCAATTCAAATTCTTTTTTTCTTACTAATGGCCTCCTTTTATACTTCCTTGTATTTGGACAGCACCCTTTACTGTATTAAAATTTTCATTTCAGAAAGGAAAGGACCTCTCACATTTTTGCAATCAGATTTTATCATGTGTTTTTGTAATGATGACAATTTTCTGAGTCACGGGTTTTTTCTCACCACTCTATTCCCTCTTGCCATATTCAGAATGCCTTGGTGGCTAGTAGATAAATTCCAAGCTTTCTATCCAGCAAAATTTTTTAATGCCCCAGGGATTCTCAAAGTGTTAAGATTGATGGATTTGATTCTGGTAAATTCTAATAAGAATTGCTTTTAACAATGAGGATAATTCATGGGAAGATGGTTTACTTATCTTTTTATGTATCTTGTCTCTCTCCCTGACTCAACAGCTCCCCCCACGGTTCGTATTGTGCACTCAGGCTTGGCCTGTAACATTGAGGAGGAGCGCTACTCTGAAAGAGTCTACACTATACGGGAAGGAGAAACCCTAGAATTAACCTGTCTGGTCACTGGACATCCACGGCCACAGGTAAGTCTGAACCATAACATTGGGGAAATCTCTCTTTGTGTGTGTTTGTGTGTCTGTGTGTAATTCAAATAGGGGGGTGTAATACAGTACAAAGATGGTGATTGCTGAACATTCAACCTTGAAGTATTCATGTGGATTAAAAAAAAGAAACTTTTATTTTGGTATGGTGAGAAATTTGGAATACATTTCTCAGGAAGCTGTTAAAAAGCAAATTACAACAATATCTTAGGAAGATAACAATTCATATGGCAATTCGTTTATTTTAAAATGTGGAACATGATCTCACAATGACATAATTTCTGTTGAGGAAGCACTTAGTCTCAAAAGTGTGAGGCACGAGGTCACATGTACTTTCCCTACACTTAATCGTTATATTCATAGAAAATTTTGGAAAACAAATGTTTATAGGTGTTATATGTATTCAGACTCTCAGAGTCTGACTTACAGCTTTTTAAAGCTAATATATTAGCAGGAACGGATATTGAGACTTTCAAAGGGCACTAAAATTAGAAACAATAAGCAAAGAAAAAGCTTGTAGGAGTGAAAGAAAGGGTTAGCTATAAGATAATATGGTAGACTATGTATCTATAATGTAAAAATTTTATTTCAGATACAGAATATTCAAGATGTTTTATTCATGATTTGTTGGTTTTTATTGTTACGTATTTAACCTGACTAGTTCAAAACATGTATTGGTAATGAACACAAACACTATGATGGAAAAGTCTCATTTGGTAGACAAAGCCACATATTTTAAATTTTTGTGTTATAGAAAAAACAATCCAGCTAATGCAACTACATAGGGAAAGTAAAGAGCAATGTGGAATAGGGGATCAAATGGTGATGGAAGGAGACTTGACTTGGGGTGGTGAATGCGCACTACAATGTACATCTGATGTATTATAGAATTGTACCCCTGAAACCTATGTCATGCCAATAAATTCAATCAAAAAGAGCAATGTGGAGATTTTATGACCCATTGTTTTAAGCTAGTCTTACTTTTCCTTCCGTAAAGCTTAATACTCAAGAATGTTATGACTCAACCATTTTGACCCTGGAGAAAAATAAAAATAAGTGTGGTGAAATATGTTTTATAAAACTCATACTGTTGATAATATGGAAAACTATAAAAGTAACCTAGAAAAAAATTAAAAATTATTTAAAATATTATAATTCATAATGGCTAAAATTGCAAATTATAATACTTGCTATTAACTGAAAATTGGTTAAAGAATAAATTGTCTTAATAAAATTGATTTCTACACATTTGACTCAATATAATTAGACTCGGTATAAAAATTGCAAACCTGAACAAGTGAAAACATAAATAACAATTGTTAATACTTGATATAGGCAGAGAAGCTAATAGGAAAGCATTTTTATTTTAAAATTTATACAGAAAACAATGGAGTCCAGTGAAAATAATTTTACTAAAATTAAAAAATAGCATTAACTCAAGAATATTATCGCAAAGAAAGTTTAGTGTAGTTATAATTTGATTATAATTTGTGTGTTTGTACACGTAGAATAAGAATTCCAGAATCAAAAAGTTGGGATTGAAACAAGACAGTCCAAACAAACCTAAAAGAAGCCACAAGTTGCTTTATGAGAGGAAATTTATGGCAAGAGAAGACTCATTGATACTCCCATTATTCCCACACCGAGTGTGCCAAATCTGCATCTTCTGAACTCCAAATTTTACTTAAAAATGCAACTTCTTAGCTCTGATTTTATGTTATCCCAACTGTTCTGCTCCCTCTACCTCCATCCTTATGTTCCCATAATATTAGAAATTTCTTATTTTTCTCTCTCATGGTAGGGTGCATTCTTTGATCTCTGGCCAATCCAAAATAAGTTCTGCCTCAGAGGAGTAGAGTAGCACCTTACTCATTTATCGTAAGCAATTCCATTTTTGAAAACATCTCAGTGTGCTCTGAAATAAACAAAAATTTATTGCTTCAATGTTGTTATTTCTTCATTCCTAGAAATAATTCGTGTGTCTGTGGGTCAATAAGTTTCACCTCATAATGCCAGTTTGAAAAATTAATTGGGCCTCTTCTTTGTCAACAAACTGTATAAGGAAGGCTGACTGAACAGCTGGGCCTTGGCAATCTGGCCAAACACTGAAGGGCGTGCTGTTGGCAGCTGGTCCTGAGGACAATTTTTCTTGGCCGATACCATGAAGCTGGAATGGTTTTCTTGTTGCTTTGTCTAATCTGAATAGGATAAGAGTTGAAGAGGCAGTGGAGGAGATATTTCTTAATCTGTTGCATGTTCCTGGGGGAATAAGAGTCAAAAAGATTTCCATTTTCAGAAATATTAAAATGCAGCGTTTGTTTCTAAATTTAAAAATAAAAAATGTAAAAGTATATCATTTGGCAATATATAGTGGCCTGAGCATTTATGTATCCAAGGGAAATACAATCAGCGAAGGAGAGGTCAATTCAATGCAGTAGTTAAGAGTATCACGTTGGAATCCACCTGCCTGTGTGTACCCCTGAGTTCACCATGACTAGTAGTGTGACTTTGGGGAAGTTGCTTAACATCTCTGCTCTCTGCACCTCAATTTTCTTATCTATATAATAAGGATGATGGTATTTGTCGTATTTTATCATAGTCTCCTTTTGAGACTTATATATACAACTATATATGTACATGTATTATGTATATATACATATATACATACTTGACACATAATAAGCAATATATTGTCATATAATAAAACATATGTTGGTTTTTATTATTTTTAAGTAATTTATGCTTAGACCCTAAGTTCTAGAATTGAATGTATAGGTATGAAAATAAGTAGATTTTAAAAATGGTTCTTAGCATTCTTATAGCCTAGATTATAGTCATTTAAATGAATTTCAATATTTTTGTATTTTAATGCTCTGCAAAGTGTTTATATCTCTGTTTATCTCTAGGAGCTTTCTTTTTTTTTTTTTAGCTTGCAAGTACTAGAAGTACTTTCAGATTACCTTGTTTAATGAGGATTTATTATAAAGGTATATGGGGAGTTAAAGAAAGGAGGTGTTTGCCACTAAATTTACCAATCTAATATTACCTCTAGACATCCGTAATTTCAAGATTCAACTACACATTCTCCTTTCATTTCCTTCCTTCTTTCTTCCTCCCTTCCTTTCTCCCTCCCCCTCCCACCCATTCTTCCTTCTTACTCTTGTTTATTATCACACCAATAATAAATAAATTATAAATATAGTCTTCTTGTAAATAATTTTAATGATAGAATACTTAACCTGAATGCTTTCTTTCACTTTCCCACCCACCTACCAGAGATAGATATTAAATAGTTTGGTATATCACCTTCCTTTCCTGTTCAGTGCATTTTCATAAATATAATTACATATGTTTGTTCATTATTTACTTATTTATTTTAGAGAGAGGAGAAGGGAGGGAGAAAGAGCAGGAGAGAAACGTCGATGTCCAAGAGATACATTGATAGGTTGCCTCTCCCATGTTCCCAACTGAGGACCAGACCTGCTATCCAGGTGTGTGCCTTGATTGGGAATCCAACCAGCAACCTTCCAGTTTACAAGCCAACATTCAGCCCACTGAGCCACACCAACCAGGGTTGTTCATTCATTTTTAAAAAGGAATAGATAATGAAAAAGTAATATTCTATTAGTAGAATTTTTTACTTGGCCATGTGTTCAAATGAGCAAGTATAGATCTAGCATAGTGGTTCTCAGTGTGTGATCCCTGGAAAGAACTTGTTAGAAGTCAAATTTGGCAGGCCTATCACATCAGAAACTCCTGCTTTGGGGCCAACAACAAGTTTGTGTTTTTGTAGTCCTTCCAGATAATTCTGATATAGACTAAATTTTGAGAATCATTGATTTAGATCATCTTCACAAAGGCTAGATTGTACTTTGTGTGATTACACTACATTCTACTGTATGGGTGCATTAAACATTTGTAATTATTGCCATTTTGTTCAACATCAAACTACTTAAAGATTTAACTATTGCAAATAATAATTTAATGAACACTGTTATGGGTGTATGTTTATGTATGTCTTTTTTAATACATGTATGCTAGTATTGCTGTAGGATAATTCCCTTCCTCAAAATGGAATTATTTAGACAATCTTGAAAGTGACTTTTACTTCCTTAGTGTAAGTGAATCTTTTTAAGTTTTTGTCAATTTGATGTGTGAAAGTGAATTACACACTAGTACAGTTTAAATTTGCATCTTAAAATCACAAGTCAGTTTGAACATTTTCCCACATAGGTCCAAATATGTCAATAATTTGTTCATCTTCTTCTCTTCATAGTTCTTATCTTCTTTTATTTTCTTACAGGTTTGCAGCTTGTCTTCTTGTAGACCTGTGGGACTTTTTATACACTACATAATTAAATTTAATATTTGATACATATGTTGCAAATTTTACCTTCCTGCATGTTGTCTTTTAATGTTTTTTATGTTATTTTTATTCAGGGCTTTTGTTTTTAAAAGATGAATTATTTAATCATTCTATTTTGGGCTTCTAAATTTTGTACTTATTTTAACAAGTTCTCTTTCATATCAATACATCTTACATCGTATGCTTTTTATCTAACAGCTTATAGTTATTTATATATTTGATGATTTAATCATTAAGAAATAGTTTTGTTCATAGTGTGAAATATTTGCCTAGTGTTGTATCTATTTCTTCTCATTCTTTCACTCTGCCCTAATCCATACAGGATAGTCAACCTTACACACTACACATTACAATTCTATTTTCTTTCTCTCTTTCTCTTTTTTTAAGTTGAGGTATAATTCACATATAACTCTATTATTTTCAGGTGCACAATGTAATAACTCAATATTTTTTTCTTGTGATGAGAACTTTTTAAAAACATTTTAATACCATGCAATTGTCATTGAAGATTAAAACATATTTAAGAGTTTTAAAAATTATATTATTCTATTCTATCATTCTAGTTATCCCTCTTTGTACTGTGTCACATTATTTCAGTTTCCATACTTTTACAGTA